CCCCAAAACCCCAAAACCCCAAAACCCCATATTTATGCTGAATAATTGAATTACAAACGAAGGATCCTGGTTACCATATGCCTCAAAAATTAGAGAAAATGCTTAGCTTTATTAACTATATGAGGTTTTATTGAGAGAAAGTTGGAAGAACCGATGGGTTAGCATCCATGATTATTGGATATGACCATAAAGCAAACAAGGCTGAGCTATACAGAATGCTTTAAGAGGCAAAATGAAAGTTATCTGGCATTTAAACTTATATTAAACCAGCATGCTTTTATGAGCCGCCAAGTTCTATTTTAATCACTTCATATGAGAAGGCTATTTTCTGTTTTTATCATTTCATTGTAAAAAAATCACAATAAGAATATGGATAAGTATTATAATCCCTGTAGTACTTGTTCAAAATATATTTAGTGTATACAATAACAATCATTTGATGAAGAAGGCAGAGTCATAATTAGAATCAATTCAGTTTTAACATTTCTAAAGAGCCAAAGGAGATCACGAAGACATCGTTCTGCTCTATGATTACTAGATTTTTGAACATTTTAAAAATTTTGATAATCCAAAAGACTCTTTTAATTATCAATACAAAGCAATAAAGTTACTAAAAAATTCTTAAATATCAATTAATCTTCAATTTTTATCGCCTTTTCAGACTCTTTCAAAAATTTGCCATTTTTGAACATTCCTTCATTAATCCCTTGAATCTCATGCTTCAAAACTCCGTATCCATGAAATCTGTCTCTCTTGAATGTTCCTGTATAAATATATTCTCCTACAGCAGTAAATCAGGAGAGATACCGTTAACTACTTCTTTGCCTTGCCCTGACTTAAGGCCTGCTCTCCATTCACCAACATAAAATCCTCCTTTATGATATTCCAACTTGCCCACCCCGTGCTTCTGGCCTTCTTCCCATTGGCCTTCGTAGACATTACCATTGCCATAGAAGTATTTTCCGAATCCGTGTCTGACCTCATCGACGAGATCACCCACATATTTTTCATTAAATTTATAAGTCTTAGTTCCTATAAAGATTATCATATAAAGGATGAGCCTACCTGACTTTATATTAACTGATTCTAAGATAGGTATCTTATACGGAAAATCATTCATCCAGGACTCTAAAGAATCCTCTTTAGTATCTTCATACTCTGAGCGAGAGTAGAAGAATCTTCCGGAATCAGCCTGGTCTATAATGCTACCATCCATGCTATCTATTCTCATCTTATTTTGTATTCGCTTTCATTTGGGAAGTACTACTTTCACATCTGTCAAAAAGACAGTCGTTAGTGGTGTTATCATTGATTGTTTCTAACTCTGCAGGGAAAACAGTATCAAAGTTATCTACATCTGATCTTGATCCTGTATATTTTAAGTTGTTAACTTATGAGAGAATGGGATAAACTATAGAAGTGACCCCTTACATTTTTTTTCATCCATTTCAATTATTATTAGCAAATTCGGGGTTTTGGGGTTTTGGGGTTTTGGGG